ATAGGATTATTTGTCTTTTTGTTGTAGAGGTGTTGGATTTTCTTGTAGATTATGGAGATCACACCTTTGTCTGACTTGTACTGTCCAAAAATTTTTTCCCAGTCTGTAGGTTCTCTTCTTACTCTTCTGGTAAAGTCTTTTGAAGAGCATAGGTGTTTGATTTTTAGAAGATCCCAGTTATCTAGCTTATCTTTTGGGGTTTGTGCGTTGATGGTTATGGTTTATATCCTGTTAATGCTGTGCATTAAGGCCTGTAGTGTTGGTCCTATTTTTTCTTGTATGAACTTTATAGTTTTAGGCTTTCTATTCAGGTCTTTGATCCATTTTGAAGTAGTTTTTGTATACGGCGTGAGGTATGGGCCCTGTTTCATTTTTTTGCAGATGGTTAGTGCAGAGAAAAGAAGCTCGGCAAAGATGTGGTTTAGCTGAAGTCTAGTCTTAGCCTGATCCCATGTGGAGCACTAGAGTTTAAATGGCACCACAGAGTTGTCCCACCATTAGGAAAGGAAGCTGAGCTTTTGTATTCCGATCGTAGTTACCCATTGGCTAAGGCCCACCTGTTAGCTGGGAAGAGACATAACTTCTCAGGCATATGTACGTGGTAGCTCCTGTAAACTGAGGGCATTTCTCTGAAGAAGAGGGTAGGTGTGAGCCCTGGGCAGCCAGCACTCACAGCTAATGGAAGAGTGTCCATGTCTGAAAAAGGGAGTCATGGTGGTGGACCAACAATGTCCACTACAACCGGTATAACCTATGAAAAGATGATTTTAGGAAATCAGTGTTTGAGGACAATAACATTCTCTGTTAAGTAATTTAAGCTGTATTATTATATCTGATCCACAACTGATCATGGGGATGGTGCAGGACTAGGTAGCATTTTGTTTTTTGTGCGTGGAGTCACCATGAGTTGGGGCCAACTCAGTGGCAGCTAACAAGAACAACAACATAGAAGAAAACATTATACTGGAAATCAGGAAATCCTAGCCTTTTTGTGTGACCTCAGTCCTCCTAAGTCTCGTTACTATTATTTGTAAAATTCATGACATGCTGTTTAGGTTCTCTTTCAGTTTCAAAATCCTTTTATATTATACTCATTTATTATGCACAGATTTCCACTGATTAAAATGATCTATTTTGTTTGTTGGACACGCCTTATTTAATAGTCAAACAAAGTATAGTTCCCTAATTTTACTCATTCATTCTTTTTATTCATTTATTTAATAAATGTTTGTTATGTGCCAAACAGAATTAATATAGAATAAGACATACAGACTCTAATATTATGGAGTTTACATTTTTTTGTAAGCAAAAAATTTAAAATAATGTTGGTTGAAATGTAGTGGGAGGTGAGCAGTTTTCTTCTTAGAAAAAGAATTAATTTGAACTTCTATTAAGGCTCCCACACAAAAGAGAATGTGTTAAGGGTGTGCTTTTTTTTTTCTGGCATCTAAAAATATATACAGTCTGCAGTCTGGCTCTTTTTTTTTTTTCTTTTTTAGAAAGAGGATTCTTGAAAATAGAGAAAGAATGAAAGAATTAGCTTTCTAGAAAGGTTTTCTAGAGAATAAAAATCATTATTATTTTGTGGTTGTTTACTTGAGGAAAATCCTCCTGGTGTAAATCATCGAGGATGTCAGTCCTTCCCATTGGAAATTAAGAGACGCCATGAGAGGAAGTAAACAAACTATGTCATAAAGGATCTGAGCAATCGTAAGTGCATTTTCTAGTGGCATAAACAAAGGTAGTATCTTCAGCAAAAGAACTCAGAAAAGCAGTGAAAGCAGCAGTCTGTGTAAAAAAGAGACGAAAGTGAAAATATTAATCTGTAGTAAGGATAGCAAATTGTAATAAAACTAGTCTTACTAGATATTGAACTCCCTGAAGAGAGTCTGTAAGCCACAGATGAATATAAACAATCACAAAAATGCTGAAAGAGATACCAGATAATTCAGGTGGTTGGAGTCACAAAGAGTTGGAGTTTAAGAAAGCCAAAGAGGAAATCAACTGAGAGGTGAACCTTCAGTTAATTAAAGTATTCTAGCCTTCTAGTGATGAGATTGGTGGACAAAGCGTACAACATACAGAACTTACTTGTAGTGACATGCATGTTAAAACATTGGTCATCATTTACTTATATTTGGTGTATTGAGTTTTCATTATTATTTCAAAGTCTTCATATTGAATTCTTGCCAGATACTATTTATAGCCTGAATCTGATGAGACCCAGTAGTTACTACACTGGTGCCCAGGTGGAGAGGTACTAATATTACTTGTTTTACTTACTATGTTGTCCCTCTTATAGAGAGGAAAGGGAATATATCACCATACAGTATATTATTACACAGGTTAGTTTACTTAAACAGCCCTATTTGAAGGCGACATACTTCTTAAATGTGGTAACTTAACATACCTGTCTTCATGTAAAATTATTTTCAAAATTAAATATTTTGTACTTTTTTTTCCACAGGAATTTTACCCATTTTATATAGACAGAAAAGGTAGGTAAAGAGGAGTTAAAAAAATGTTGCCATTTCATCAGTTCCGACTCATGGTGACCTTGCATGTTACACAGGGTTTTCTTGGCTGTGATCTTTACAGAATCACATCACCAGGTCTTTTTTCTGGGTCACTGCTGGGTAGGTTCGAATCCCCAAACTTTTGGTTAGTAGCAGAGCACATAACTGTTTGCACCACTCAGGGACTCCACATGAAATATAAAAACCAGAAAACCAAACCCACTGCCATCGAGTTGATTCCAACTCATAGTGACCCTACAGAACAGAATAGAACTGCCCTATAGGTCCAAGGCTGCAAATCTTTAAGGAAGCAGACTGCCGCATCTTTCTTTTGCGAAGCAGCTCGTAGGGTCCAACCAACCACCTTTCAATTAGCAGGCAAGCGCTTAACCATCGCACAACCAGGGCTCCTCCATTGGGTAGTAATATCTATCTATTATTATTATTATTTTTGTCTATCCGGCATTTTTTTGTTTTCCCTGAATATGCAACTCCCTGACTAGAGGGGCTGTCAGTCATGGGAGTGGTACCCTGTTCCAGGCTGGACCAATCAGCGGTCTTCCTCAGGACTTTTTTTTCACTGGGGCCAGTAGGCAGGAGGACTCTATTTTTGTACGGGAGTATTAGTTTATCACTAAGGATAATCTAAGCTCAGAATGAGTGAGCATGTCTTTACCATCTCAGAGGGATCACTTGCCCTTGAATGAAGTCAGAGGAGAGGAGCGTTAAGATCGGCTAGAGATAGAGATGTTGTTTGAGCCCTTGTACCCACCTTCATTTATGTCAAATGTAGATCCCTAGAATTTCTGGTTAGATGAACCAATAAATTTCTTCTTTCTATTTACATTAGTGTTAATTGAATTTTTGTCACTTGCAAACAAAAGAATCCTGACCAGTATGTATAGTTTGTTGTTTATGTTTAATTAAAAAAATAAAAAGTAAATGTATAACTTTCAAACTTACAAATGTGTAATTTAAGATAGGTTGAAATATTTTAAAGCCAATCAAATAAGAAAGCCTATTGTATTATTTCATCCATAAAATTTATGACAAATGTTACATTTTAGAATATCAGGTAGATTTTTAATTATACCCATATCACATAATACAGCATAGTTGTTAAGAGTGTGGGCTCTGGAATCAGATTGTCTAATTTTGAATCTCAGCTCAGTCATTTATTAGCTCTCTGGTCTTGGGCAAATTATTTGACTTCTCTGTACCTCAGTTTCCTTATCTATAAAATTGAGATAATGAGGGATCATCCTCAGTATGTTGTTGTGAACATTTAATGTAAAGTACTTCAAACAGTGCCCAGCACATAGTTAAGGGCTCAATATATATTAGCTACTATTATTAATGCAATTATGTTGTTGAGCCTCTGATAAAGAATTATATTATAATGAAGGCTATTAATAGTAGCTGTAGGATTATCAGTGATGAAAAGAGAAGGGTAATCCCCTATAGAGTTTGGAGTGGACTGGTGGACTAAAGTCTGAGAAAGCGCTCTGATAAAGTAATATTCTGGATAAAAGTCAACTGACTTGCTGATTTGACAAGTTGTCATGAAGCCTAACAGCAAGACAGTGAGTGCACTTACAGACATCTGTGCCCTCACTAGGGACTAGGATGTTTTTGTGTGGGCAAAAAGAGAGTGAAGTGGAAGTAAAATTTCTGGGTTATTTATTCTTGTTGATAATTTGTATTGTTGAGGAATTTTCAGAATATGAAGATATATACAGCAGCATTATTTACATGATCTATTCAAGACATATATTGAAACATAGCCCGTAGGTCTGAGTATAATTTTACTATTAAAAACAAAATAAAACAAAACCAAACCCGTTGCCATTGAGTCGATTCTGACCTGTAGTGAGCAATCTTATAGGACAGAGTAGAAATGCCCTATAGGGTTTCCAGGGAGTGTCTGGTAGATTTGAACTGTCAGCCTTTTGGTTAGCAGCCGAGCTCTTAACCACTAAGCCACCAGGGCTCCAATTTTACTATTAGGTATGTGTATATGTGAGAACCATCTTTTGGCCTTACTTTTTGAAAGCCAAACAGGGACAAGTCAGCAAGCATCATAATCTATTCTATGCACCCCATGGGATTGTCAGTTCTGTTTTGTGTCACTCAAAGGGAGGATGCCATAAATAGAGAAGAGGTTACTACTGAAACCAGGACTAGAAAGGAAACAGGTAGATAGATTTTCCTGGGTAATTTTTATAGTCAGTATTACTGTAACTGTTTAGACTTCAACTTATCAATGTGTTGATCTTGTGGAAATAATGCACTTATCAACAGGGAATTACTTATACTCTCCGAAGGAAGTTTATTGCTAACACCTATGTTACCCCAGGGACCTGGCTCTGCAAATTAACAGGGAAGTTGTCTTTAGTAAACTATAATCTATATTTACTCGTATAATTACTTTCAGTCTAGAAAAATGTAAGAAGAAAATTCTATGTCCTGGTCCATTAGTCTAGCAAAACCCTTGTCAAAGTCTAACAAACACAAAAGTTTGATAGTTTTAAAATTGTGTATGTCTAATTATTCAACATTAAATATCAGAAAAGAGGTAATATATAAATTAAATGTGGTTTGGGAATTACAAACATATTTGATAAACGTATAAACTGTGAGCTTTAATCTACAAGGATCTTCTGCACTGGAGACCAGTTTTAGACATAATCCAGTCTCGGTAGAATGTCACTTGAGTGTAGACTCCAGGCTTGTTTTGAAGAGCACATTCATCTCCCCAGCTTACAATACCAGCAAGGAACCAGGTACCTTTAGAATCTGCACTAAGTAGAGGTCCACCAGAATCACCCTAGAAAGAAAAAGGATATACACAATTACTGTAATTTAAAGAATACTTATTTTTCTCTTTTGAAGTAAACTGGGATTACAGGACAGAAGAAGAAGAAAAAAAAAACAAAAAACCCTAGATATTTCAGTAGTAAAGTGATTCTAGTCTAGAATATTTTTATGTTCCATAATAATTTCTTTAAATCAGAGATTTCAAAATATGTCTTTGTATAAAACAATACAAAATGCAAAACAGGTATGAAAAATTTCAACTCAATTATTATTCAAAGGAGATACTGAAAGTAGTTTTACTTATGCAATCATCAGAATGTTGAAGAACTCTCTCATTATTTTCCCAAACTCCTCTATTTCCAGGCCAATACTGGGAAAAAAGGAAGATTTGTATTTATCCATCAACAGCATTGGACTATTGCTGTTCCATTCTTGTGTAAGTATTCCTCCAATTTTCAGAATCATGTAATTTGGCTATCCCCCCCACCACACTCCTTATAGTTTTCGTGCTACTGATGTTAGGCCATTTTCCAAGAATGAAGGAAGACATTGGCATCTGGATTTTCCTTTGCTCTAATCTTTCCCATCATTCTGTATAATTTCAACATCCATTGGATGATCCATACCTAGCCTCACAATCTCTTGGCTTCCTTGGCTATGATGATCCATACTTTTATTCAGTCTTTCCTTGTCACTCCTTGCCATTACCTGGAACTGCTTCACCTCTGTAATGCCATTATTCAGCAGTATGATTGCATTGAGCTAGCCCTTCAGTTTCCTTTTTCCACTTTTCACACTACATCTGCTAGTCAATAGACATTCACTATGAATATCAATTCTTTGACTCCGCCCTATTCTCCCACTTCCCACTTTTCATCTTTTTTTATGGTGGCTATAATTCATAATTTGTGCATACCACTACTGTTTGACAACATCCTTAGCCCCTTATCTTGTTTAAACTTTCTCCCCACCATAGCCTGGGCCAAACCATACACTGTGAAAGGAAACCATATTATAAATTTACGTCCTCAAAGCAGCACCTCTCAGCAATATTCATGTGTCTCTGGCCAGCTTCCTTTCTCATTATTCAGGACAGCCATTCCAAAGTTTTGTCATTTCACTTTTATTTTTAATCCTGTTTCTTCTCTCTGAATCTAGTGTATAGTTTTTTACTTTCAAATTCATAGAGTAAGTGGAGAGTAGCACGTGGCAACCCCTTCATTTCTTGTCCTCATCTCTTTTGACTTCCCAGCTCACCTACGTCAACTCATATTTGTATCTACTCTTCCCTTTTTCAGATAAATGGATATATTTATTGCTTTCCAAAGCTAAGCCTGCCATGTATTCTCTGGATCGAGGACCTTATATGATCAATAATCTCTTTTTTGTTTTTTCCTAATATGATTTCCACTTTCCTCTACTGCGTTTCCCCTCTAGGCATATACGTGATTATTTGTTTTGGTCTTGCCTACCTGACAAATGACAGTCTTCCTGGATCTTAAAACCTTCTCCACTGACGTAATTATCTTCGTTTTATAGCCGTATGTCTTAAACTAGTAATCTATGAGTTGGAATCAGGTATACTGAAGTTTCCATTTTCTCACTTCATTCTCAACTTACTTTTAAATGGTTTCTCTCTCCACCAGTGCACTAAAATTGATCACCCAAAGTTCACCAATAAACAAATTGTTGAATTTGATAAACTTTTTCCAGCATTTATCTTAGTTGGCCTCTCTATGGCATGTGTCACTATTAACTATTTCTTTTTTGTGATGTTTTCTGACTTTAGTGACACCAGTTTCTTATTGTTTTTCTGCTTTTCTCACCTTTGTTTTCTTACCTCCTACTGGTAGCCCCTTAAATCATGTATACCCAAGAGTTCTGTTCTTAAGTGCTTCTTATTTTACATATTTTAACTGGGCAGTTGTATCCATACTCATGGATTTAATTACCACCAAAACAGTAATATGACTTTTAGGTATATATGTCCAGCCAAAACTCTTTCCTGAGTTCAAAGCTTTTAATTTCAGTGGTATACTGGACATATCTACCAGAAAAACCCAAAAACTGTTGCCGTCAAGTCGATTCCGACTCATAGAGACCCTATAGGACAGGGTAGAACTGCCCCATAGATTTTCCAAGGAGCGCCTGGTGGATCTGAACTGCCAACCTTTTGGTTAGCAGCCGTAGCTCTTAACCACTATGCCACAGGCACCTCAAATTCTGAACAACGCAAACTGAACTTTCACCCTCCTCAAACCTATTCTTTCTCCCATACACCCCCTTTCCATTTGCTGATGGAGAATATGGGGGTGAGCATGTATTCCTTATTTTCTCTTTTCCTCCTATCAGTCACAAAATTTTGTCCACTCTGTTTTTTTATTGTCTCTTTTCCCAATGTATTGTAGATGGAGCTCTTAGTACCTCCCTCAGGCGAAATAATTTAATAGAGTCTACTATCTCTAGCTCATTTACCTCTGGTCCGTCTTCTACTCTGAATGTATTGGATTTGGCAATTAGGCAATCATTAGTAATACTTTCAGTGGACTGGTGGGGTAAAAATCTGCAAATTGTGAGTCAGAGAGTGAATGTGTTGAGAATAGACTATTTTTTAGCCGTCTAACCAGGAAGAGAAGAAGAAAGATAGAGTAGGACCTATCAAGGGAGAAACTTGCTCATGTTTATAGAATGTGTGGAAGGGTTCATTAGAGTGAGACAGTTCAGAATTAAGGAAGAAAGTTCAAATAAATTGAAAATCAAATACTTGCATAGGTGGAAGGAGATTGGATGAATAAAATCGGAAAGAGATTAACTTTGAATAGTAGAATAAATTTGTTCATAACGATCCTAGAAAGTGAGGATGAGTACAGATACAAATGTATGAAGGAGAAAGGAAATTAAAAGAGTTCTCATATGATTGCTTTCATTTTTTTCTGGTAAGTGGAAGAAATTTCATATGCTAAGGAAGGTAAAGATATGCTGGGATAGGTTGTTTAGAAGAGTGTAATAAAGGTTTGACATAGCTCCATAAAAAACACATTAAAGAAATGTATAGTGTGTTAAAGATCCAGCTGTGATCACATGACACCAGTTGACAAGACTATAAGATTTCCTTCAGCTGTACTTAGCAGCTTGCGTGTAAGACAAAATTTTGTGACTGATAGGAGGAAAAGAGAAAATAAGGAATACATGCTCACCCCCGTATTCTCCATGAGCAAATGGAAAGAGGGTGTATGGGAGAAAGAATAGGTTTGAGGAGGGTGAAAGTTCAGTTTGCGTTGTTCAGAATTTGAGGTGCCTGTGGCATAGTGGTTAAGAGCTACGGCTGCTAACCAAAAGGTTGCTCTGTCGTTGAGGTTATTAGGACAGGTGTGGGGGAAGTAAATGTTGAAGTCATTGAGGATGCTGTCAACAGAGTGGTGGAAATAATAAAATGTGGATTCTAGGCTGTGTAAATTTGGAAGAGAGACATGGGGGTGAGGTGATGGACTGAAAGAAATTTGATAAGAACAGAGAATTTAGCTCTCTATGACACTGAAGAATAGATTTAGTGGTAAAGTTGGAACTAGAGGAATCTGTAATTAGAGATGATAACTGTATTGTAAATACTTGTTTGCATGTCTTTTATCTCCTAGGATAAGAAATAATGCTCCATTCACTTTTAACTTACCTTTACCTAGCACAGTATCTGTTTATTTAGTAGTCAATACATAATTATTACATGAAATAATTAGTGAATAAAATAAAGATTCTCCTGGATTTACCACTGATTCTGTCTGCCCAGATAACTATAGTAGTATTTTTGGTAGCTCTAGGACTATTGCTTGTAAATAACATCAGTGACGTTAAACCCGTTGCCTTTGAGTCGATTCCGAGAAGCCTACTAATCATAAGGAAGGGCATCTTAGTGTAGAGTTCAGAGTATGGGTTCCAGAGCCCAATTTCCTGTATTTAAATCCCAGTTCTGTCCCTTAATAGCAGTGTGAGCTTGGACAAATTACTTGATCTCTTTATTTGGTTCTCCTCATCTGAGAAATAGGGTTAATAATAATACAAACATGTTTTACATAATTGTCATGATGATTGAATGAATTAATATTTGTAAAGAGCTTATAACACAGCCTGGCACATGGGGATGCTATAAAAGAGTTTTTAATAAATTAAATATTTAGGACATTGGAACCAGATTAAGAAAGCTCCAGGATCATTTAGGTTTGGTGTTGGACTCAGTGTTTCTTTGTGAAAGAAGGCCAACCAAACTAAGATCAACAATATTCCATTTCATCTCTTTATCGCTTATCCTAAATTGAGTCTCTTCTCCACTCCCACTCATAGCTTCTTATAACAGTAAAGGTGATTTAGCACTTCAGTACTTTAGTGAGACCTATTAGATATCAATATAATTTTAATTAGATACTTTGGCTGTAAAACATAGTTAATCCTTTAAAAATTGTCAATCCTCTGAGGAAATTGAACTGGTTAATTTAAAAACTATAAGAAAAAAATCTTCTCAAAAATGGAACAAGCAGATTTACCTGGCAGGCATCCACTTGTCCATTTAGGAACCCGGCACACAGCATTCCAGGTGTGATGACACCACTATATACCTCTTTATTGTTGCAGGTCTTATTATCTATAATCTTCACTAATCCTTTTTGGAGTGTATTAGGACTTGTTCCTGAAGGAAGAAAATTATATAATTTTTGCTAAAGTCAATATTAATCTTTCAGGCTAGGTTATTAGTACTTATCTTTTTCAAATCAATGTAAAACATACATTGTAATCAAAAGTTTATATGTCTCTTTCCTTAGTAATAAACATGCAAGTAATTGGTAAAAATGACCATACTTGGAAATACTTAGTGTGTACATCCATATGTGATGAGATTTTTTTCCTTTTGAATTGTTTTGGAATTTATATTTGTTACATTTATGCCTTTGAAAGTAAAATGACAAACTCAAATCCCAGAAATGTACATTTTATGATTGTTTTTAGATTTTCTGCTAATTTTGTTACTGTAATTCTGAATCTTTGAATTAATTTTATGTTTACCTGTCTGCTTTCAAAATGCACATATAAACATAAATAGCCACTAAATCTTTACATTATTAGGGTCATTCGGATGCACATGTTTAAAATGATCTTTGCTCATCACTGAGCACCACCCATTTCACTCCACTGAAAACTACAGTCCTCGTTCCCATCTGCTCTACCCCCAAATGCCCAATCCTCTGTAGTCTCTTTTTTTCTGTAACACGTATGTTTTATGAGGCCAAGACTATTTGCCTATTTTCTTCATTAATGTATCGAAGTCATCAGAGCAGTGCCTGGCACAAAGGTGGTAATCAAAAAAACACTTTATTGAATGAATAGTGAATGAGTGAATGAAATGGAGGAAGATGAATTACTTATTCAAATAATATTTTTCTGTAAAGCTGCAATTTTTAAGGGAAATTATGGTAAATAACTTTATGAAATGTGTACCTTCTGTATGAATGTTGTTGAGGATATTTTTCAATCCATTGCACGTAATTATCCAGAGGAAGTATTTCTGAGGTTTTGTTGTGACTTGAGTATTTTTTTCTTAACTCCTAAAATTCAAATCATGTAATGGAGGAAGCTTAGGAACTCACCATCAGTCTTTAATGTTCCCCATCCAGTGACCACTACATCTGAATTGGGTGGGAATTTGTAAGTAGCTTCTGGAAGACATGCTCTTAATCTGTTGCTTGTATATAATACTGGTGAAGACATATGCACAACAGCAATGTCATTATCGTGTGCGGGGTAGTGGTAGTTTTCATGAATTTTAATATCCTTGACACTTCGCTGTATTTTTGGATCACTTAAAAGAAGCCCAAAACTAACATGCCATTCTTTTGGATTATTGGCCCTAAAGAAAATAGATTTATTTATTAGCAATCCTGTATATTGCAGTCATAGGAATTCAGCTCTTATACTTTTTTAAACAAAAATGTTTTGAATTCTCACAGTGCTTATAAGTATACAAAAATAAAAACTATATATAAGAGAAAAAATGATGAAAACAAGAATAGACTTTGAATAACTATGTTTTAAAGGATAGCCAAGGAAGCTACATTTTATTCCTTGTTTTGTCCAGAAAAAGCTTAAGATGATTTAGAAAGGTAAATATGCCAAGCTAAAAAGATTACATGAAAAGTGGGCAAGGATATGGGACAAAGTGAACTTATGGAAATAAAGAAAATAGTCTAAATCCTTTTTATAACCATTAAAAACTCTAAGTAGGAAGATATTTCTGACTTTATTATAGGCTAATCAAAGATTCACATGTAAGTGTTGAAAAATAGTGGTGCAGGAACATTTTCAAATTCTCTTTTAAAGTGACACAGTAAACCTGTTAACCTGTTGCTGTCGAGTTGATTGCAACTCATAGCGACCCTATAGGACAGAGCAGAATTGCCCCATAGGGCTTCCAGGGAGCAGCTGGTGGATTTGAACTGCTGACCTTTGGGTTAGCAGCCAAGCTCTTAACACTGTGCCACCAGTGCTCCAAAACAAGAATAATGAAGAGACAGCTGAACAAGTTTCAGAGGGACTCTTATTTTTAATGAAACACTAAGTGCTATGTAAAACCAATAGAAGTTAATGAAAAGAAGCGTCAAACAAAAGGATAAAAAACCTTAGTGAATAAAAGTGAACTTTTTGTGCAGTAATATATACTTTAAAGAAATCAACATCATTTCAAATAGGGCTATAGCATACACAGGAGGATGCAGGATGAATTCAAATACTGATGACTCAGTAAATTAAACCAAACGTAATTAACAGTGAGAAAGAAGTAGAACACGTATGTTCAATTTGAGATTTTTAGTTTCTTTATATAATTGAAGTAAATGACTCTAGCCTAATACTTCTCAACTGAGAGTTTTTGGCCCCCAACCCCAGGGGACATTTGGCAATGTCTGGAGACATTTTTGGTTGTCAAAACTACGGGGATAGTACTGTGATGGAGAGTCTCCCACAAAAAAGAATTATCTGGTTGAAAATGTCTCAACAGAGATTGAGAAACATTGATCTAGTCTGACTACATCTGTTATTTTACTGATGATTCATTGAGTAATTTTGAGGCTACATCTCACAATGTTGAACAGCTGGAGGTGTAGTTAAAACATGTGTATCACAGTTGTAGGGACTTGAGTGGCTTTGAAGGCTTCACATGGGCCACAGCTTACTTTATGAAACAGTGAGCAGCAGTGACTAGCCAGCTGTTACTAATCAGAGTGGCTCCACATCGGTGGACCTTGTCCTGTTGAAGGCTAGCTTGCCAGGGCCATTCCCCTTCCTCGGCATCCGTACCCCCTGCTGTTTTGTTGCCAGAGGGAGTTATTGTACAATGTCCACAACCTGCTCAAAATAGAGGTTCATTAACATTGATATTGCTTATGCTTGTATTTTCAATAGTAAACAAGCTCCTCTTAATATGCATCTGTATTAACTATTAAGTAAGGGAAAACTACAGTCTTGGAAAAGTTAGGGATGAATGCTTGCTGACAAGAATGCATTAAAAATAAATTGATATCCTCCTCTTTTCCTCCCCCTCACTCACATACATTTTCTCTGTGGCTGTATGGCTCCTCTATGACCAGATGTAAGACATAGGTAGAATGAAATGTTTGAATTTAGAAGACAACAAATCTATAACAAGTTGCTAAATTGCACAGGAAAATATTTCTAAGTTAAAGGAGTAGTTACTGTAGAGCAATGATTGCTTTTGAAACATTAATAAGAAAATGTGAATGAATGTGAACATGAATGAAGTATTGATATGGAGACCTAATAGACAGAAATGAGTTCACACTCAAGTCAAAATACACAGTACCTGGATAAAAGGAATTACACATAAAAACAGTCAGCCATTTTCCAAAGTTATATGCTTGTTTGAATTAGTACTATGCTTAATATCTATTTAATTCAGAGAAATTGTTGGACAAGTTGTAAAGCAAATCTTCAGTACTGGTATAATTTTGCTATTATTCCCTCTGTCTGCCTGTCTGCCTGTCTGTGTCTGATTTTCTTGACTCATCTTTAATACATCTAAAAACACTGAGCTTTTCCCTTAATGGTTAGTGGTATATTTTACTAGAGATTTTCATCCTCATTAATACATATTTTTAGAGAACAGAAATCATGCCTTTTTTAAAAATGTATCTCCAGAACCTACTGCAGAGAACTTACTACATAGAAGGAGATCAAGAAACATTTGCAGAAATAAAATCTATATAGTGTAATCCATGAGACATCTTGAAATAAAAATGATACTTGACTGCAAAGCCCTTTCCTGTAATGAGTATGTTCCTAGGCATGTAGAGAGTGAAAAACCTTGCATTAATCAACACACAGAACATAGATTAAGCAGTAGCTCTCAATCAGAGTGATTTTGCTCTCCCCCAACCCCTCACCTCCCCAGCCGCAGGAGACACACGGCAATGCCTGGAGACATTTTTGATCATTCCACCTGGCGGAATGCTACTGGGATCTAGTGGATGGAAGCTAGGGATGTGGCTAAATATCCTACAATGCATAGGATATCCCCCCTTCCCAACAAACAGTTATCTACCTCCAAATGTCTATAGTGTTAAGGTTGAGAAATCCTGGATTGTTGTTGTTGTTAGATGCTGTTGAGTCGATTCCTACTCATAGCAGCCCTATGTACAACAGAATGAAACACTGACTGGTTGTGCGCCATCTTCACAATCCTCTCTTATGTTTGAGTCCATTGTTGCAGCCACTGTGTCAATCCATATCCTTGATGACCTTCCTCTTTTTTGCTGACCCTTTACTTTACCAAGCGTGATGTCCTTCTCCAGGGGCTGATCCCTCCTGACAACATGTTCAAAGTATGTGAGACGTAGTCATCGTTCCTTCTAAGGAGCATTCTGGTTGTACAGCCATGAAAAGGTTTACAGACAGAAAGGAACAATCTTTGATGGTTATGAGGGAGAGGAGGGGTAGGGAGGAAAAAACACTAAGTAGACAATAGATAAGTGGTAACTTTGGTGAGAGGTAAGACAGTACTCAATACTGGGGAAGTCTGCACAACTTGACCAGCCGTAGAAGTTTCATGGACACATCCAAACTCCCTGAGGGACTGAATTACTAGGCTGAGGGCTGGGGACCATGGTCTCAGGGGATATCTAACTCAATTGACATAGTTTATAAAGAAAATATTCTACATCCTAGTTTGGTGAGTAGCATCTGGGGTCGTAAAAGCTTGTGAGTGGCCATCTAAGATACTCCACTGGTCCTACCCTGTCTACATCAAGGGAGAGTGAAGGAAACCAAAGACACAAAGGAAAGATTAGTCTAAAGGACTGATGGACCACAAGTACCACAGCCTCTACCAGACTGAGTCCAGCACAACTAGATGGTACCTGGCTACCACCACCAACTGCTCTGACAGGGATCACAGTAGAGGGTCCCGGACAGAACTGGAGAAAAATGTAGAACAAAATTCAAATTCACAAAAAAAGACCAGACTTACTGGTCTGACAGAGACTGGAGAAAACCTGAGAGTATGGACCCTGGACAACCATACTGAAGTCACTCCTGAGGTTCACCCTTCAGCCAAAGATTAGACAGGCCCATAAAACAAACAGTAATACATGTAGCTCAACCATGTACATGAGACTAAATGGGCACACCAGCCCAGGGACAAGGATGAGAAGGCAGGAGGGGATGAAAGGAAATGGGGAACCCAAGGTCAAGAAGGAATGTTGACATGTCATGGGGTTGGCAACCAAAGTCAGTAAACAGTATGTGTATTAATTTTTTTTAATGAGAAACTGATTTGCTCTGTAAACCTTCATCTAAAGCACAATTAAAAAAAAAGAAAAAAGAAGAAATGTGCAAAGACTTGGAGTTAGAAAACCAAAAGGGAAGAACATACTTGGCATTTCTGAAGCAGAAAGAACTGAAGAAAAAATTCAAGCCTCGTGTTGCAATATTAAAGTATTCTATGGGCAAAATACTGAATGATGCAGGAAGCATCAAAAGAAGATGGAAGGAATACAGAGTCACTCTACCAAAAAGAATTGGTTGATGTTCAACCATTTCAGGAGGTAGCATATGATCAAGAACCTGTGGTATTGAAGGAAGAAGTTCAAGCTGCACTGAAGGCATTGGTAAAAAACAAAATCCTGGATTAGAGAAAAATAATTGTACCAAGAATGAGAACATTTAAATAATTGGAAAGTTTAGGTGGTTACTTGCTTCACAGAGATGTTATTAATCATATGTCAGTAGATATCCTTTGAAATATTCTTTCCTAAATATGGAAAGGCATTGGAATCAAAAGAGAGGGTCATGTAGACTTTTGTATAGCCTTCACTGCCCCTCTAAAGTCCTTAAATTTGTACATTGCTTTTGATTCTGGGTAATTTTCTTGATGCAACCCAAACCTCAGGTTTTTAAGGCATCCTACTTATAAAAATTACTTAGCTGAAGTAGAGCCTTGGCCGTTGCTATTTCTGAGAGAGAGGGCTCTAATACTGACTCACAGAATGTAATCCCCTTTTCTTTTCCTTTCTTTCCACACCCTTTTCATAGACTCTAGGAGAACAAAACAAATAATCCAGAACCCAGAGGTACAATGGTTCCTCCCTATCCTCCCTTTTCTGTTTGTACAACTCCTAAAGGAAGTTGGCTTTTAGTCAGTTTCTTTCAGAGGACTATGTAAACAAAGATGCTTCTTTGTGGGCTAGGAGAACCTCCTGCAGGAGACTCCACTTCTCTGTTTCAGCGCTTACTCAGAATGCTAATCTAATTAATATCCATGCATCAGCTTCCATTCTGAGTTTTCGTTTAGTCATGACTTTTGTATCTGTTTTCAGCCACCACCTCTGTAGCATTACCTTGTTATTACCTCTGCTGTTATTACTTCTTACATGACACTTTTAAGCTTTTATTACATCAAAAGAGGTTATATGGTCAGTTTCAAGGCTGTAAGGAATACAGTGAAGAGTTGCTAGCTGAGACTTTGAAAAACACTGGAGTATTTACCAAGCTCTTACAGTCTCCCTACCCTTCTTGTACTTTATTGCCTATTACTGCACTTTAATACTTTGTTACTTACTGAAACTCTGTTTTTCAACCCTATGAGATTTTTCTTATCTACCCCTCCCCCTTTTGTTTAAAGTATGATCAAAAGCTCAAATAGGCCAAGTCAAATTCAGAATACTGATATGGATGGGTGTTCAGTGTTCCAGGTGAGGGATAGATATATTGGCTGATATTGTTTTTACTATGGCTTTTATTCCTGTCCTGACTACCTTTTTTCTAGCAGCCTGGCAAATTGCCAATTGTGGATTTTGATTGTATTGTTACTAAGGTTTTTAATTGGAATAATTGACTTTTCACATATTTTATCAAGTTTTTTGAAGATTATCCAGTCAAAACATATCAAAGAGAAAAATAATCTAATACAACTTTATAAGTTTTGCCCAGGTTGTTCAGAAATAACTATGCTTGTGGCTGAAGGCTGTAAGAGCTGTTGGGTTAGTGTCACCTGGCTCTGGAGGCTGACTCTTTTAACAGCTGACCCATTTAACCTTAGTCCCCAGATAAGAGTGGTACTCCTCCTCCTTACAGTCTGCTCCTACCTCATTCATATTCCAAAAACCCTGGGGTTCACTTTTCCCTGGGCAGGTAGTTGGGAGAGTGGAAGCAGAATGCCTTGGCTGACAGGAAAGCTGCTTGCACAAAAGGCAGTTTACTTCTCAACACATTACACTTGTCTTTTAGGATCAGAATTCCACAGTGAGTTCCTAGACCTGGAGTTTTCATAGACAAAACAGAAGGTACAAATATCTCCCACTTATTGAGCACTTTTTATGAGCCATATACTCTTGTGAGTACTTGTTACCTTATTTCATCTTCACAACAACTTGGAACTGAGACTTTCAGATGTTAAATAACTTTTGTAAATTCATTCAGTTAGTAAGTGGCACATCTAGAATCTGGCTTTCTCCTCATTGTTTACAGATGTAGTTCTTTTTTGCTGATGCAGCCTGCTCCTACCCTGGGTCCCTAGACCAGTGTCTGTCGTTAGAGGCGGTAGCTGGGTGAGGCCAAGAGCTTGCAGTGGAAACTTGCTCTCTTTCTCACTGACACTGCCACAGCTGATGACCGACTTTTTACTAGGAGGTCTTCTGGAAGCCCAAAACACAGCCCTGGATTCTCTCACATGGTTTTCCTATTTAAGCCTGTACCACAGGTGACTGCACCTAGTCCTGCTTCTACTCACCTTTAGGACAGCAGTCGTCAGAGGGAGAAGCTAAAGGTCAAAAATGATTTTAAGCATTTTACCTCAGATTAATTTTTTTAAAGGATTCAGCTTTCAAAACTAAACCACTGCTTATTTCATTGCACTTTTTAAACATGTGGTTTACCCATGTAGTCGGAGACAGTTACGCAAACCCTCGCTAACTAGGTTCACTGACCAAACCAAGAGGCCTATCTTCCTTGCCTATTGCATCCTCCAGACAGTCACCTGCTGCTAAGCAGCCACTGTCCTTCCTGTATGTAGAGAAGTGGAGCACGCGTGTCATACGTTTCAGAGAAATTCAGGCAATTATTGAAATAGAGTGGTAATAGGCAGCTCTACCCTTGTGCGTTATGAATAAAAAACTGGATTCTGGTTTACCGCCAAAAACAAAAAACAAACAAAAAGAACTGATTTTAGATTCTAAGTTCTTAGTCATCATTGTTTTCCCCTAGCTCCTCCCTGCCCATCATAGCACATGACAATATGTTCATTTTAAGTCTATGACATCCATCAAGTTAGAGCCAACTACAGTTACCTTCCTACAAGTTTCTAAAAGCAGGATTCCCATTACGCTTCATGGACACCACATTGACTTTCAAGTTTCAGTGGAAAGTACTTCTTTTTTGATGCACTTACAGGTATTGAGAAGATTTTCTGCTGCAGGCATTTCAATGTCTAAAATTAAAGGGGAAAGGAAATGTAAATATTTAGCTTTTGAACACACTTTACTTTAATATTAATTAATATTTGTTATTTTGTTAGGGTGCACATCATTATTCTGTAGATATAATCGTGTTATTCAATCTTGACTATTTATTTCTATGTTAGCATACAGAGTAATAAAATCTTAGTATTCATTCTTTGATTTCTAAAAATAATGTCAAGTCCCCCATTATAAATTACTTGAAAACTAGGTATGGGTTCTGGACAGTACCGCCATATATGAAAATTATGATCTTCGATCATAATCTGAGTTCAAATCACCATCAAACTGAATGTATTTGATACTTTTTATGATGCATCACTTCACATCCTCTTGGCCCATCTCTTACCCTACCCACAGCTGTGGTGACCAGTTCTACACAGGTTTGGATCAGCTTTGCACAGGGATAGCTTGACAGATGCTCTTCTTAAGTCAGCACCTAAGACTTCTCACTTTCTGACAGAAGAAATCTACTGGACTCTCCCAGATGCATAACCTATAAATGCTGGAGTTAATGATGGTAGAGCCACTGACCAATGTAAGATGGGAGTTGATGGACAAAAGCTTTAGTCAGGTGGGAAGGCATTTCTTAGACACAATTCATAGGTCCCAGGGAATGGAGCAACGATTGCTCCTAGCAGTGGCCAACTCTCTTTGCCCATTTTACTCTTACCGTCGTTCACTTTCTCTCAAATCTACTACTGTAAGCAAGCCTTTATCTTAGGCTCTGCTGTTTAGAGAATGAGGCTAATACACTCAAATAGTTATATACCATAATAAATTATACCAATAACTAGGAGAGCACATATACTGTTACATATATAGTGTATTTTTTGTGTGTTGAGTGCATTTTACTAATACTCTTAGTGTGGTGAGTTTCGATTATTTGGAACCTTCAATTAAGCATGCCACCCTATTTCCCATTCATTTTGGATCAAAAAGAATTTACTTTAGTAATGAGGAAGACCTTAATGTTGCCTACTCATTCCTGGATACACAGATCATTTTAGGGAATATTATAGGATGAGATTATTTACTCCAGTCAGTTTTGCTATGGGCCCCACCTCCCTACAGAGTCAAACTCCTGTTCAATTCATGTGGGAAATGTATGAGGAGAAGGTGAGCAAATGCATCACAATTATGCACCAAATTTGAGATGCAGAGAACTGTAAACTCAATGGCCGTTTTTACTTAAGAGTTCCTCTTCAAAAAGGAATTACCAGCTGCTCTAAAGATTAAATTCTATAAATGACATTGTAGGGTCGTTTTCTGTAAATCCAAGAGGGAGCGTCAAGTTCTGTGTGTCAGTTATAGTTAAGAAAAATTAAAACATTAACCGTTGCTGTTGAGTCCATTCTGACTCATAGTGGTCCTATAGGACAGGGTAGAACTGCCCTATAGGGTTCCAAGGCTGTAATCTTTACAGAAGCAGACTGCCACATCTTTCTCCTGCAGAGCAGCTGGTGGGTTTGTACCACCAACGCATAACCACTGCACTACAAGGGCTCCTTTTCTAATTCATAGTTAATACACTCTTAAATTAAGTTATAAAACCATTCAGGCAGACAAAAGAATCCTTTACCAGAAAGTCAATCATCTGAACAAAAAAGGAGCAATTCAACAGTAAGATAGGCTGTGAGTTGATATAAGCCATGCCTTTTTAAAACAGAAAATGACCTATTTCTATCTAATCCTTCATATCTTCCTTCCAGAGGGTAATTTTTATTCAACATGATACCTTTAGAGTTTAGTTTTCACTTCTGTGTGCTTGGTAAAATATATCAAACCATATTAATATTTTGGAAAATAATTAAACTCTTTTACCTGGACTGGAAAAATGTTAATTTTTACACTTTAAGAATTATTTAGAACCCCTACTGTGTTCACAAAAGTTTCTTCTTTCTTTAAAGTTTCCTTTATTTATGCATGATTTGCTAGAAGGAAAGAAATTTCGTGAGTAATAATTTAATTTTAATAGTCATAGTATCCCAGAGCTTACTACTGGTATAACTCACACATGGGTGAGGTAGAAGATAGTAGCTACAATGAATAGGGAAGTTACTTAAAATGTCATCTCTTTGGACTGAATCACTGCTGTTCCTGTTTATGTTTCCTTCCTTTTAGGTCTCTTGGCTCATACTCAAGGGCTAGAACTCCTATAGATTAACTTCTGAATCAAGGAATCAACAGTATAACCTAGGATACTCTGTTTATGGTGTATCATGTAAAGGAAGTGAGAAAAAAATCTATCGTGCTCTCCCTGCCAAAAAAGGAGATTGTATCAAAGGATAATAAAACAAAAACAGCTCAGCAAATGTGCATATTAGTAAAGAGGCTTAGATGCTCTCCAAGTGACATTTTGAATCTGTAGTGTCTCAGATCCATGACCATTATTTCATATTTGGCGTCTTTCCTGGATTAGGAAGTTAGAAATGCAACTTTGGTTACACTAGTGAAAAGGAGGGCTCCCCAGAAAGCGAATATCCAGTGAATATTTTATTCCTTAAGAGAAGAAGTCTGAAACAGATAATTGTAATGAAAACTGAGCTCTATGATTCTGAAATATAAAGAGGAATTCTACAGTAGTAGTGGGTTCATTTATAATGTAAATTTTATATTGACCATGGGCTTTAACTCTGCTTAGGTCAATTTACTACTTTACATTATTCCAAAATGCTAAATTAGTTAATAAACCATATTTCTCAGATAATTTTCTGTGGTTTTGCATTAGAAATATAGAGGAGTTCTTTTGTAGAATGTGCCTTATGGGATATTTAAAAATACTCAAGTGGTAGATTTTTGAAAACTTTATAACTATAAATGTACATGGACTTACTAAGCTAGGTAACTGTAACAAAATTGTTTTATGGCACGGAGATCATCATCTTTCAGCCTGAAGTCCATTCATAATATTTTCATCAAAAAGTGCTGCTCTGGAGCTTTAATATGACTAGCCTGCTTTAAAAGGCAAAAGAACAGAGCACAGACCTGGATTGTGGTTGAACAAAATCTGAATCATTCACTCACTGCTGGATTTCATTAGTCATCTGGTTGAGTGTTGAACCTCAATAAATGCTTTTATGTTTCTAATTAGATTGAAATTATCTCTGTGGTTAGACATTACTTATCGTTTGTCATTGTTTAAAGTGATGTAGGCTTAATATTAAATATTCTAAGTAGTATAAGACCTTGACCATTCATAATTCCTTGGAAATAAGTCTTCCTAAATAGGCAAATTTTTGGAATAGTTTATATTTTATATTGAAAGTAGATACTTCATATTAAAAGTATCTACTTTCAGTACGTTTGAGCTTTTGATTCTCAAAATAAAAAAAAATTTTAAATATTAAGCTCTCATTATATCTTTAGGTGGTGGCTTTTAAGACAGAACCGTGCTCTAATTTTTTTAACCTTTATGCAGATTTGAAGAAATATGAACATCAGGGATATTTTTTGTTTGGATATTATATATGCTTTTTCCATGACTTAAGCCATTATTGATTTTAACTATGGAAGCATAACGAAAAGCTGTGTATTGAAGAGAGGGGAATATAGACAGTCATGTTTATGTAGTGAGCAGGGCATAAGGTAAACAACATGTATGCCTTATGCTTTGATGTGCCATACTGTGTTGCTAATGGCCCTTTTGAGGACACACACTGAGCATGAAGTTAGTATTTAGGATTAACATTTTCAGTTTGGAAATTTTCTAGCTTGGCTCTAGAGACCTTCTGAAGGTCTTCACTTTTGATGTCACTACTCTGAATACTTTGTGGATATCCTACAGTTCATGCCCATTGCTTTCTTTAAGACCCATCTTAAGAGGTAGCTCCTCCAAGAAACTTCCCTTCTTATCCTGCCTCTTCTCAGACGATTCCTTAGTTTCATGTCCGTTGCCAATTTGAATAGTAATTTTTGATGCAAAATAATCATCACCTGATAATATGTATAATTAATAAAGAGGGCCCAACAAACCCTTATTCAAAGGCTGTTTGCTTTCAGAATTTTATATATAAACTACTGCAAAATATTTTAAATGAATTGAAGGAAGGTAGAAAGAAGGCAATAGGAAAGGACACAGAGGAATCAGAACTGACAGCAAACCCTCTGCTTAACACTGAGGGATGAGAAAGAGATAAAATACGAGGAACAAATATGTGAACTCAAAAAACCAAATATTGGGCTTATTTAGGTGAAGATACAGATAGCTCTGCATTCGCCCAAATGCCTTGTGGCACCACAATATCCACTATATATATTAATAAATGTCCATTATTATGTCAGAGTAATTTCAGAGCAGTAAGTGGTAAATTCTAGAAATATTTTGTACAGATACAGTTTTAAGAAGATGTTTTATACTTTATTAAAAAAGATAATCAGAAAATTTGCCTATTTAGAAAGACATTTCCATAGAATTATGTGTGGTCAAAGCTTTATACTACTTATAATATTTTCAGATATATTTTGCAGATGAAATAGATTTATAGAGCTGAAGATTGGTTCTTGGTTAAGGAAGCATACCATGGGCAATAATGTGCTTTTGTATGCACATACAGCTTTTAAAAAAAAAACAACCTCTAGGATTTACAAAGGAATGATTGATTAGTTCAGTTATTCAAAACATGGTACAGATGAAACCATGCATTGTCTCAGGATCAAGGGACATGAAAAAAGGTGTGTGCTACTAACATAAGCCATACCTCAGTGTTGGCCAACTGTTTACAAGTGAGTGCTAGGCCACAGCTTCATTTTTCTTCTTGGAAAACTCTTGATAGTGAATCAAGACCATTCATATCTGAAGGTCTATCTATGTTGTTATTATTTCTAGTACTCCTGTGTAATTTGAGCTTTTACTTTAATCAATTCTGATTTGGGGTAAGTGTTTAAAATATTTCTCATACCTATCAAATTCACTAGTTTGAGTGTACCAGTATATATAAGACATTTTTGTGTAGAAAATTTTCATTATTTT